CGTACGTACGTACGTCCGGCCGTACGTCCGTCCGGCCGACGGCTACCAAACAAAAGTATCATTTAATAGGTGAAACCGCATATTTTCGGAAAGGGGAGAGTAAGAGGATTATTATACTGTGAAAATATGGGCGCTTTCATGCCATGCTGAAAAGAATGGAGCTTTAGAAAGATTCCAGCGGTTTGCAAGCCGCGCTACCGCTGCGGGGCGATAGAGAGCGCCACTGTCGTTGTTTTCAGTCTGCGAAAGTAAACACGACCGGCGCCCCGGCGCTCGGCACACTTCACTCAACTTCAATTCAGCAGAGTCGAATGGGCCGCCACTTACGGATTTACGAATCCAAACTCTAAATCAATTGGTTATCCAAGTGCGATGTAAAGAAAATGACCGAGTCGGAGAGCACCTCACCTGCGTCCAAAAAACCGTGCAACGTCGCAACTCCAAAATGTTTTCAAACTTCTTTAGATAAAGTTTTCTCGTCGACCCCTGTAAAACTGAACTTTAATGATGAAAGTTCAGGCCAAAAATTTAAAATTAGTGACCTTCCTTTAATATTCATGGAGGTAATTACTAGTTTTGTTTTGTTTCTGTTGCAAATAATTTGAAGTTTTCTTATGGAACTTAATTTTTTGTAGTTGACTTTCAAGAAACAGTTTACTAAAAAATTTGGGCCAATCAGCAGTCTGACGTATTGCAAGAAAAGTAATTCTGCAGTTATCATAGTGAGTATCAGGTGAAATGAGAAAAGCCATGCTTTGTAAGTATTTCCAACTGTTAAGGGTATGTAAATTTGTTGCAGATAAATGACGCTAGTACTATTGCCAAATTAGCACAGTCTAAGTCTTTCCCGTTTCAAAACCATACAATAGCAATTGAGGAATGTACACCAGTAACCGATGATGATGATGACTTGGCAACCGCTTTCGAACCAGATGTCTATGATAATGACACATTGGTGGATTCTCTAAATTTAAACCACAGTTCTGAGGAAACTCTGCAACATTCATTAGTCGAGCCTGATGACCATGAAGTTAAAACTAACACAGAGATGAAAACTATGAGCGTCAGTCTTGGAGATATGAATCTAAGTAACATCTCTACTGAGGAAGCAGTTAAACAATCACTATTCATGGAGGATGAAACAGAAATGGGAACAACTCGAGTTATCGTTTCGTCCTTACCAGATAATTTTTCTAATGTAGGCGTAGCTTGATATTATCACTTTTCATTTCTTGCTCCAGATACGGTTACTTAGTGATTGTTCTTTTGTAGGATGTTTTACTGGATAGGCTGAACAGCGCGCTTGTTCAGTGTGGGTTTTGCACAGAGAGTGAGGAGCCCGCCTCTGCTGTTGTTGAGAAGGAAGGAACATCAGCTACTGTGCAGGTGAATACTCTCCCAGGGAGTCAAGAATTATTACTGCATTAATCTGACACAACATCAGTTTCATTCTGTTTCCTTTCTAGTTTTCATCAATTGAAGCAGCGACAAGAATTTGTGAGGTGCCAGCCATCAAGTATAAGGGGCATTCCCTAATGTTGCTGCAGATTGAAGAGCCAGGAATGAAATCTGTTCAGAGTGAGTATGGCCGCACTGCCTTTCCCTCTTTTCAAACAATCAAACCTTAAAGCAGGCACTGTTTTAACTCGACTTTTAACTAATACAGAGCAACTGCCAAGTGTGACAAGTTATGTGTTTGACGAAGAAGTAATTGATGATGATCACATTTCTTACTCTAGTTTAAAAGATTGTTGCACTTTGCAAGTGACCAACATCCCGTCCACCTACTCTAAAGTAAGATAAACTATCTTCAAGTGTACTTTTTATTCCTCTAATTAATTGTAATGCCCTTTCTTTGATTGCCAGGATGACTTTATAACATTTTTTAGCAAAGAAATGAACAATGACTTCCAAACAGGGGTTGATGACATTATTGATGAAGTTGTGAAGTACTGCCCTAAAACTAAATCAGTCATATTAAAGGTATGTAACACTTTCCAATCACACATTCATCCATTCCTCACACTTCAAAGAATTTGAATTTTTATGTACATTACTGACCTAAATTTTATACCTTATGCAATGCATCATTTTACTTCTTACATCTATAGTGTAGCACTTCAGAGTATGCTAATCTTGCCTGCCTGATGCAAGACGTTAAGTATAAAGATCACAGCCTGTCCATTCAAAAATGCAATGTTGAGGAAAATGGCAACTGGAAAGTTGAGGGAGCTAGTGGATATGAAAAGGGTAAGTGGATTTCCACTTCTATGAGCATACAATGCTATATTTGAAAACCAGTTTTCATTTCTGTCCAGGAATTGTTATTTTTTAGTTATATCCATATTAACCCATTAAATACAGATTTTCATAATTAATCGTGCAGGTGCATC